CCCAAGTGGATACAGTACCTTTTCTTGCAAAGGGAAACAGTGGCTTGGGACAGAAAAGCCTATCTCCTCCTGTTTGGAAAGAAGTATCAAGAGTCACCGTGTGTAACTCTGGTAGTTCACTGGTAGAAATAAATAATTACATTATTCTTGGCATATTTTTTTAAAGTGGTTTACTGATTTCTCTGATGAATGGAAAATGCAGGAAGATTACTTTGGTATGCATGTGTGTGGATGATGAAATAATGGCTTCCAAGTTTGTTATTTGTGTTGGCAGCAGGAAACATAAATTGTGGAGACGTATCTGTGCTGAGGATAAACCTAGCAACGCATTGCTGGTTGTCAGTCAACACTCATCCCTCACCCCATCCCCCTCGCCCGGGGTCACTCGTGATGCAATGCCATTCTGCTGAAGCGGAACCCTCTGCGCGCCTGATCTGTATTTAGATGTGATGTCACTGTACAAAGGCTGCTCAAAGAATTGCTATGGGATAGTTACTACAGGCATTGGAGATAATTCTAGTAAGAATGCTTTCTGATAATATTAAATAGTCTGTTAACAGAACTTGCTCCTTCTCTGACTCTTGAAGAAACAGAAGTTAAATACTAGAAGGCAAGAGTCTGTAATGCTTTATGTACCAGTTTCACGTTGATGCAAATGAAACAGGAGGTAGGAGTTTTGGGTGCAGGTGTGCAGTGTAACCAACCAGCAGGATTACTCTAGAAATTGTACCTGCAGGATTGTTCAGTCTTTTCCCTCGTTTCATCACCACATCTTAACCTGGAAACTTCTGTTACTCTTTTTATGTTTCAGAGGTGACACAAAAGGCATTAATGAGAGCCTGTATGTCACCAGGATCCTTTCTTTGGCTTAACTAGTATCCGACTGAGGGTAGTGCAAGCAGGAATTCATTCAATCTTTTGCTTCCCTTTCAGTGGACTTCTATAATTTTCTGCTTAGATTTATGTAAATGTATTTTTCATTTTCAAAGGAATGTGACTTCACTGTATTAATGAGAATAACAGATTCTATTGGGCAGTTTTTAGCTAGGACTTACAAACTTAAGTATCTATCTGGCCATCAGAGGCAGGATAAAAGTAAAACGGCATTTTTTGCATTCAGTCAAATAGATAGCACAATGTTGGTTGATTACCTGTAGAGTTGCAGAGGAAAGCATTATTAAATTAATCTTCCCTGCTTACTGCGTATGGATGAGGTACCAATTTCTGCATGTTGATCTGGCAAGTTCCTTGATATGTAAAAGGGGTAGTTTCAGGTCTTGGTCTGACTGGTATTTGCTGGATGTAATAAGGGGTTCTGTTGCATAAACATGTTTAAAAATCGAATTGTTGGCCCTTTCAATATGCTTTTGCAACTTTGGAGCCACAAATGCTTTGACTTTAAGTTAACTTGCCGGTTAGGTACTAGAGAAGGGAACCATCCACTGCGCTGTGTAGTGGGAGCAGTTAAAGCAGCAGTTTCTATCTCTGTCTGCACTCATACTTCACTCAGTATCATAAAACCAGTCTTAACTGGACATTCAGTTGCTTCAGTTCTCTGTTGTGCAATTTTCTTTTCAAGCAAGCACAGAAACTGTATTACCGAAGCTGTGGGACCTGTTGGCTTCAACAGACTTTGCTGTTCACGAGAGCGAAGGCAGGGTTTCACCGTGTAACTATAAATGCTGTAAGGGAATGTATTAGCAGTGACCTAAGGTCCTTCAAGAGATACTGACTTCATGTTTCTAGCTTTCCCTTGGCTCAGGCACTGCTTTTTCAAATGCACAGGAAGCACCTCATGTTCCTGTCCGGGTTCTGTACCTCAGCATTTAAAAGGCAACTAGTAAATACCAGGCATCACAGAATGCCAGCAGGCTTTGCTTTGGCATGGCTGACAGAATGTGAACCCTGCTAGGGTGACCCTTCGCTTAGTTTGGGATATAGATCATTACCCTGAGCTGCTCATGCATCAGTCTCCCTGCCTTGCTGGTGTCTCATGGGCTTTCTTGTTTCAAGTGCCCTTTGAGTCAACAGCAAATGCATGGCTTGCTGTGGGGTAGGCAGGGGAACCTAGTGTTTCCTAAGGGACATGCTCTTGTTACCTATTTGTCTGTAATGTAGTGCAGCTCTGCAACAAACTTGATTTCATGTGGACTGATACAGACTTGTCTTAATCTTACACAGCTGCCATGTTGTAACACTAAAAGAAAATCCTAATAGAAAACAAGATGCACACTACATATTCTGACAAGATAAAGGGGAATTGGTTTGTTACATAACTAACTTTCTAGAAAAATCTGTGAATATTTGAGGCTTTTAATTGATTTGTGCTGGTCTCTTCCTAGATATTAAACTCTAATTCCCCAGGTGTCTTTCCCTCTGGTTTTAAGGACCAAAGCACCACCTAGTTCTGTGGGTTCTGCTTCATGAATTTATAGGGAGGTATACAATGAAACTGAAAAAATCCTCCAGTCTGTTCCTCAAAGAATGTAGGCAGGAGTTCAGCAGTTAACTGGATGTAACTTTTAATATTGCTCTAAATACTACAGTTTTCCTGAAGTGTCAATGACTTGCTATTCTCACTACAATGATCTACATTTTCCTTTTTTTCATCCCCTTTGCAATTAGCACAGGATGCTATTTCACCCTTACCTGTCCAGGAATCTTTTTATATTAGTGGGACTACACCAACCAGTTGGTGTTATTAGGCTAGTTTTTACAGAAAAAGACTGTTATTAGGCTAGTTTTTATAGAAAAAGCACAGTACTTCCTACTTCTTACAGTTCTTACAGGTGTATGGCACAAAGCAGTGCTCCAGGCATGTCACAGATCCCACCCTGCAACCAGAAAGGACAAACCACACCACCTTTGAGGTTGTATAGTCCGGTATTTGGTTATAAGGCTGTAAGAGTAGTCTCAGGTGTAAGATGCTCCCCGAAATCTGTATTTTCATTAAATCTTGCTTCTGTGCTGTCAGCTTACAGAGAAGACCTTGTTTTCCTTCTGTTGAAGGATTAGGGGATGTGGGAACTTTTGCCAGGTATAAAGGGTTTTACCATTGTGTGTTTTACCTTTGTGCTTCTGGAGTGAAGAGTGGTTCTGACAAAAGAAAAATTAAATTAGCACAGCTGATGCTGCTTTTGCATTCAGGTGTTTCAGGGATGACACCAAAGTGGACCAGCTGCGAGCTGTGTGGGCAATGCCAGGTGTCCATATGTGTAGGACTGGTGTATGCTCAGAGGCAGGGAAAAATCTCTGTACGAGGCAAAACTATTTGCATATAAGCTTGAAGAGTTAAGTGCTTTGCAGCACTAAAGTTACACGTTATGTGTGTGTCGAGAAATGATGGGTGAAACAGTTGTGTACTCCAAGCAAAATTTATTAGAAGTCTATTCAAGAAAAAAACCACAGAGACCTTTTGCTTGTAGGAATTCAAAGTCAGTTACCTGAAAGCCAGGTATGAAAAACCTGTATTTTTCTAAAATCGGATACAGAGTAGAAACAGTACTTTTTAAATATCACAGGCAACAGATATTTAAGTCTTCAATCATAAATGGCATTAAAGATAGGTATTAATCTCACAGCAAAGCTGCATGCAGATCTAGTTTAAAATTGAAAGCCTTTTAAATATAAAGCTTTTGCCATGAAATCTGCAATAATAAAGGTATGCTGCACAAAGATGTTTCTTTACCTTTGTCTTGATGACATTTCTCAGTAATAAAGACATATGTACATTTAGATTTGGCTGGTAAACCATATTTTAATTAATAAAATTTTGCATAAAATGCTATCTTACAGAATTGCACTATCCAGATGTTCTTATGGTAAATAGAGCAAGAAAAGAAAAAGGCATTGAAATGTTCTGTTTGTGAAGAGGGCAAAGATCAAATAAGGAACTTAATTTTTTAAAAATCGACAACCAAATGGCTCTGTACAAAAAGCAACCATATGTACAAAATGCTACAGAGACTACATACATTTTGATAATTTCAATCCTTTACCCATGAGAAATGCAGTAGAAGCTTTTGCCGTCTATAAGGTGCTGAAGAAACCAAATCTGAATTTTTACATTTATAAAGCCATAGTCATTATCATCCTATGCCTTAATTTCATTTGCTATTTATGCTTACTTTTGCTTATGGAAAATGTATGTTTTCAAATACTTGTTTCCTTTGGGGTGGGGGGAGAGAAAAACCCACCTCTAAAATGTATCAGTTTTAATACTTGTGACTCACTTTCTTTGTTTTTCTGTACTAAACTCCTAAGGAACGTGTAACTCAGGTTTTGTTAACATACATACATACATATATATAGTGAAGTAAATTGGTACATGATACTTGTGAATATTTTTTCAGGTGGCTATGTTAGGAAAACCCCCCAAACCAACAACCCTTTGCACTAACACTGTTTACTTCCTGCTGCTTAAAATTCCTGATACGTAAAACCACTAGCCTCTTATTCCATGTTGCTTACTATTACAACACTAAATGGTTGTAATCAAAATATCAGAAAATGTAATCAACAATGTCAGGTTATTATTGTCTATGCTTATATCATTGTCTCTTCATTAAATCCTGTTTCGTGAGGTTTTATGCCTCTTGCACTTCTTACCTTTTAACAGAAAATGCTAGAGCTTTACTATGGGGGAAAAAAGGTTTAGCCAATACCATTGCATCTGTTCAGAACACTTGCAGTTCTCCCATTTGTCAGTATGCTTGCTTGAGATTTTACAATCACTGTGTATATGTTACAACGCACAAGTGCAGGCAAAAAAATCTATATTATAATTTGTCATATATTGTAAACCAGTACAATAGGCAAACCTGTGATACGGCAAAGTGAAAGCAACAAATGCTGCCAAGCTAGTAAGAATGTGGAAACTCAAACAATGTTTTTCAAAAATAGTAAACAGCAACTTCCCCTGAATGATGTGCATGCTGAAACATCCCATCAGGCTTCATGACAGGACCACGAGTGTCCAAACCAAGAACAGCTTCTCCCCCTCCCCACCCCCCCATGGCAATTCATCTGTGTACCTGTCCTCAGGCTTTGTGTGTTGTGTTTCAAATGAAAAAGACTTTAAAGCAGGGAGTATTTAAGGTTGAAGTGATTCCTCTTGTTTCAGAAAAGCTTGTCATTCACACCGTGGTCGTTGCTGTAATACTGCTGGAGGGGTTTGGAGGGTGGGATGGGATGAGCATGAACTAGATGGCCTCTATTTGAGACTGCAAGCAAGAAATAGAAGACCAGCGTAGCATGTTTTCTAGCAGCTTATGCAGATGTGTTGCAGAGATGCAGCATAAATAAGTAGAAAAAAAATTCACAGCCTCTTGACATAGTTTCCAGGGAAAGTACCAAAGAATTTGGTTCTTCTTGAGGTTCCTGAAATTAGAAGCAATAGATGAAAGATGGGAATAAGAACAGGAAATACTATGTAAGCATGGCCTTTAGATTTTTATGTTTAATATTGCACAATCAGAAATACTATATAATATTATTTATAATATTGTTTCTAAAAGTTAGTTTGGATCTCATTTGTGAGTTGTGAGTTTTAACAAATCATAACTGCAGGAAGGAAAAAGCAAATAGAGAGGCATATTTGATCAAATTGTTAGGCCTGATTAAGACCTGTGCTAAAATTGACTTGGATTTTGACATGGAAAGAATTTAATTTCAGCAACATTGTCTATTCAAATAATTTGCATTTTTTGAATACTGAGGATTAACAAGATGATCAGGTTAGCCACTGTATGCATGAGGGTTTATGGAATGATTAAGCCACTTTATCTAAGCGTAGTTATGAAATCTCTGTTTTGTTCAGTAATACTTGGTTCTCACAGGTAGTCAATTCTGTAGATATATTCACGCAAGTAAGTTTTATGTTACCTGGTCTTTATGAAGAGAGCAGTAATACATAGTCCATTTTGTGTCACATGAGAATGACAACAGTGCTGTACAACAAACTGGAGGCACTTCTCAACTTGTGTCCATCAGTTTCAATAGACACGAGTGAAAAATTACCCTCTAATTTCAGTGGAGTTTGGTTTGAATTTCTGCTGATAAAGCCAGGTTCAGGTTTATTACATTGAATACCAAAAATTAATTAACAAGAAGACATCGAGCAAAGAGGGAAGCAAAGGTCAGAGGGAAGAGAAAAAAAAAAGAAGAGGAAAAACAAAAAGAAGAAAAAGCAACCAAATGAAACATACCCACAAACCATCCATCATCACATTTTTCCATCACATCAATGACATCTCCCTCTCTGAGTTCCAATTCATCTTCGTTCCTAGGAGTATAGTTATATAGAGCCTGAAACCTTAAATAGGACAAATGACGCATTTTAAAAAGAAGTAAGAGTTCTGTACACCTTTGCTGAAGTAAACGAGCTGGTTTAAATATTAACTAATAAGTAACGCTTCTTGCAAATATAGGGGAAAAGGGTTTATTTTGCCTGATGGACATCAGGGCTGGATACTTTGTGTAGTAAATAAATAAAACTTTATTGAGAAGTAACTCATCAGACGCAAAAGACTGGGGACTCACAAGGCAAGGCTGATGGCTCCTCAACTAGTTGCTTTCAACAGAGAATTCTAGTATTTATTTCATTTTTGCATTACTTTATAGCTGAGGCACCAAACTGGAGGACTTCTAGAAGGGAGCCTGTAGAGGCACTAGCCCCATAACCTCCCCAGTCAGTACCTAAAACCGTGGCTCTGTCTTCAAGCTCTGAAGAGCTGAATCTAGAGTACATGTCCTCTGCCGCAGCAGAGCAAAGTGCCATGCAAGCACAGGCAAGGTGCTTGGTGCCCTTCTGCACTTGATGGAGGAGGGTGCCCAGGAGAGTGGCTCACACAACTACTGCTGCAACTGAGGGACCTCCCAAGCTCCGCAGTAGCAACTGCTGAGCTAGGACTTGACACTGCAGGAGCACTGCGTGTAGAAGAGGTGCCCTCCTCTGGGGGAAAGGCTGAGAGTGATTGCTATTTGGAAACACAGTCATAACCCTTTCCCTGGTTAAAACTGCCCCTGCTGTATATATAAAAAACACACACCTCAAACAGTAAAAGGGAGAGGCTTAATCAAATCAGGGAACAAAGGATGGAAATGAAAACAGTATTAAGACACTGACTTGTACCTCTACCCTGGACAGAGGCTGCAAACTGAAGGATGTAAGGTGGATAAATGGAAACAGGTATGAGATTAATAAATTTATTATCTTTCATTCCTCACCAGCTTTTAATTTGGTTTCTTGGAATTGGAAGAATAGCAATAAACTCTTAATAGGGCAAACTGAAGGTGCCTGGGCTGCAGATTGCTGCAGAAGTCCTGCACGGTCGGAATCTGCCTTTTTTTCTAACTGTCTGTGCCCCAGCTATGACTGACTGTGTGTAAAGGAGCAGGGTACAGCTGCAGAAACTGTGCACAGGAAATGGTTTTAATTTCAAAATATTGAAACGAAACATAATCACGTCCACTCTTCCCTCTTAACAACAGTTCACTGACTTTAAAACCATAATGCAATTACAGTTCCCCCAATAAAAACGAAGTAGCACCCCCTTTGATGTGTTGGTATTGAATATTTCCATTAAGTCTGTATCATTCAGGCAAAATTTCCATGGCTTGAATGAGATCTTTTTATTTCAGTGAAAAATTCCTGCTCATTAAAGTCCCATTTGAAAAGCCTATCTAGTGACTGGTACCAGGCTTAGTGTAATGATGGTCTTGAATAAACTACAGTTATTTTTCACATTGCTGGTTTGGACAAAACAAAGACTTAGTGTCTTGTGACTGGCAGTTATCTTCCCAAATCTGAAAAGTCTGATTTTTACATTTTAATCACACTAACAAAGTGGAACATGACTGGTTATTTAAGCAATTACCTCTGTTAATTTGTGTGGCAGGAGTAAAAACAAGCTGTGCAAAGAATTAAATGGCAGTAACATTTTCTGTCATGCCTATTATTCCAGGAACGCTGAGCTATGCTGACACTCTGAAAACTGATTAAATGCAGCTTCTAAAGGTGCAGACTTGCAGATATAATGTGTCATGAACAGGATTCAAAACAGTTACTTACTCAAATACAGTAATGAGAACTTCCCAATTAGCACGCTGTACTTTAGAAATCTCATCCGTTTTAACAACGCTCTTATAGTAATTTCATTTTCTCTTTGCTAATCAAATAATTTCTTAAATATGAAAACTCCACTGCCATTTATATCACTAACAGTACATATTTGAGACAAAGAACGGTTGGTTGGCAATTTAAATATATTTCTATTTCTACTTCTAGGAATAAGTAAATTTAGTCATGAACTACTTAAACTGTATTGGGCAAAATTAATTACAAAACAGACTTAGGTGCTTGAGTATGCTCAACAATACCAACAGGAGCTTGTGGTTTTAGTGAGATTGAGTCCCATTTTTGTTATGTATTACTGTGGTATAGTTACAGCTTTCAGAATGGCTTTCTTGTATCTAATTTTTAATTTCTACATGTAAATTACACCAAAAAGGCTGAGCCTGTTGCTCCTGTGATCAACATTATCAAATACTTTTTTTATTTTCTGTTCATATCCAGAACTGTTTCTGAGTAATTGTGTCAAGTAAGGCCAATGAGTTGAATCAATGTCAAATCTTTAATTGGCATTCTGCTGAGATGTAAAAATAGAGAGAATAAAAAAAGGTCAAACTTTATTTTACAAAATTACTATCCCCCTTTAAGTTTAAGTGATGGAGAACTGTAAGTTGGCACACCTATCTAAGCTTGTAAATTAAACAACTAAGGCTTTGCCCTCTGGGACCTTCTTGGATATCTTCCTACCTCATGTGGTTATCTGTAAATTTCTGAAATCTCTTCAAATTGCACTTGGCAGGTTACCAAATTATTTGATGAAATGCTGGCTATTGCTTAAATGTTAGGTTTTGGTTTAGTAGACAAGAAGTATACTTACGGTTCCCCCCCACCGTGTATGTTTTCATGAGCAAGCACAGGGCGCTGTGGCTGAAATGAAATGATTTGAAATGTAATAAAGATTTATAGCGTAAGGTCCAAATAGTTGGATAGGGGCATGATACATGGTTGCTTGAGAGTTCGTAGTCTACACTGAGTAAAACAATACTCTCCCCAACCCACCCGCCAACTCACAATAAATTCTTAAGAGACACGTCAAGCAACAGAATGATGGCATGTTTAAAGATCTGATTTTTGGAGGACATGATGAAAACTAAAGCAAAACTGTGAACTTCATCAACAGTCCATTCTATTTATAGTATAGTAGAAAGCTGGAATAGAACCTTGCTGCCTCTTCACTGTGAAACAGAAATAGCATTAGAAAAATCAGATGCAACTCACGAGCATTCGACATTCCTTAAGTGAAGTATATTTTTAGATAACCACAAATCTTCTATACATAATGGCAGAATTTACAATATTCATAGACAACATACCAATGTACATTACACACACAGAGTACTAACTTGGCAGGCATAACATGCTATGCTTTAATTAATCCTGTTTCATCTCAAGGGGGAGCACAAAGCCATGCAGGCTGTTGGGAGCCAAAGAGCAGAAAGAATTTGGGAAGAATGCATGTAATTCTGTGAAAATAACAATTAACACTTTTACTTCAGAGGAAAACATTGTTTGTATTTCCAGTGCAAAACTTTATGAAAGGAACTACTTTCCTTCTTAATGGAGCATTACCCACAACCAACATCCAATAAATCTGGATGCAATGAAAATGGAAAACATTAATCTCCTACAGAAACCGCATCCTACTTAGAAAGACATTGACTGTGATTTTTTTTTGAAAGGCATTTGACATTGATTAGACTTTGGCTGAGTCCAGAAACAGCGCAGGAGAGCTCTTGATGCAAATAGTGATCATATCCTCTGATGACTGAGGATGCCCTATGGTTATGCTGTAGAGACAGGTCTAGGAACCCTTTCTGTTTTGGGAGTGTGGATATCAAATCCAGTCCACAGCATTTTCATTTGGGAATTCAGTAATGTGCAAACTGATTTTGAAGCCATGGGATTTGTCTTTTTGCTCCATGGTTGCCTCTTTTCCAGGTTTGACTATTTCAGTTCATCTTGCTTCAGTTTACTCTTGAAGATGATGCAGACTTCCATGAGAGAAGGCAGTGGTAAACAACCCACAGCCTGATGATACAAATTGAAAGGTAAAACACACTTGTTTGTTTGTTTTTCTCGTCTCCCACCCCAGCGCCTCACAACATCTCCAGATGAAATTGAAGTTAAATTTCTTTTCATCAAGCTTGTATGTATCGTATTTCTTTTCATCAAGCTTGTATGTATCATATTTCAATGCAGAAAATATTGTGAACATTTTCCACTTCATCTTTACAGTCTATAGAGTGTAACTTTAAAAAGATGCCTAAAGATGCAGGCAGGTAGGCTGCAGAAATTCTGTTTGTATTTATGGCATCTAGGTTGGAAAGACGTTTTCAAAGTCCAACAAAATTTGTTGATACTCTGACTCTCTTCTCTCCCTCATTCAACTCTCCTCTGCCAGTGTACAGGAAAGATGGGTAAATTTTACTGAAGAATGCAACATTTATTGTTTATGATTGCAAATTAGCCATTTTTGTTCTCAGTAAATCTCCTTTAGCAGCAGGTTTGTCACGCAAGAAAAGAATATTCCATTGGGCAAATTGCTTGGTGTTTGGACTGGCATCTGACCTCATTTTCTGCTAATCTTTCACCAGGTCCATAACTTTACTGAATGTCAAAGATGCAACAGAACTCAACTGAGGTTAGGGATTTTTCTTGCAAACAATTAAAGTCAACGTCCTAAGCAATACTACAATGATTTAATGCTTTGAACATAATACCAAGCCAGGAAGAAACTGGGTAAGTCAGTATTATCTTCTTTTTCTGTGTATGCGTCGATAATTTAAAACTTTTTATTCCTAGTTAACTATGTAGAAATGGATGATAGAAAGTCAAGGTGAGTGAAGATTTTCAACTCTGTTATTGACACAGAGAAAACTTTGTTGGAATTAGAATCTGGGTAAACTGGGGTGAAGTAATCTGTGCTATGTCTGAACAGAGGGACCTTGGAGCTTGCTCTCTATCTGGATGCATTCCTCAGTAGTACTCCACCTGCCACCAAGAAGCTTTCTCCCTGCTTTCTTTCCCT